TGTCCAGGCAACTCCTGTCAGCACTTGGCTGCAGCGTGGCCGCGGTGGAAGCACCTCGCTGTGAGCATGAGGCCAAGTTTGGCAGTCAAATCGATCCTCTCGGTGGTTCACTTCATACTATCACAGTGAACACAATATTGACAGAAAAGTGATTTTATCAACAGAGTATTGCAAACCGTTCCTAGATGTTCCTAGTAAATTGGTGACTGCTGCAATTCTATCTTGGTCATTGGTTTGCTTGGTATGTTGTCGTTGGTTCCACAGTTTCTCACGGCACGGCGCGAATATGCAAACAATTGTCAACATCAAGTTGGAGCACAAAGGTCATCCACCAAAGAGATGAGACGATTGCATGCTAAGTTATTTTTTGAATGAACCTTCAAGATCTTGGGGTCATTACAGTGTACAATTTTTCATGTTCACTTCACCGTGGATGGTTTGGATCATTTTGGATCCTAGGTGTGTGAATGTCCAGTTTGTGCGGAGACTCTGGAAGACAATCCATGGTCAATGGTCAGCCTGCCCTGCTGCAATCAGAGCTTGTGTTGGGCTTGCTTGCGACGTCATGCGGAAAGCGTTATTGATGATGCACGGCCTGATATGAATTGCCCGTTGTTTTGCAAAGTCCCAGTCCCTGATGTCTTGGCATCTTGGCTTCAAAATGCATGTTTGCCCTATATCTATTAGTGACGGCATTTGATATTTTTGTAAACAACGAGACGTAACGAGACGACATTTGGGTGGTCCCATAGTCTGACTGTTCTGACATTCAGGTGCATACCGCTTTTCGTCGATACCAATGGTCCTGGTCTGGCCTGGACGTGTTGGGACAGAGAACCAGTCGCAAGCAGAAGGCCTATGAGCGTTGGTCTCTCTCAAGCGGGCTAGCCAGCAGCTGTGCGGCACGTATGGAGGATGTAGTGCACTGCCCAGGCAGCGAATGCCACTCGGCTACCAGATCGTCAGTATCAATGGAAAAGTCCTAAGCACTGCAAGCTGAGTGAATTGCAAAAGCAAAGGCCCACGTCAAGACCTGGTTATTTGTCCGGGGCTTTTCTGGGTCGGTATAGAATCGTAATCTGATTCGCACCTCATTTGGTGACTGCAAGCCTCGGATGGCTTTGGACATGTTTCCTCGCACAATGCCCGTGGACAACATGTATATAACATGTAAGCTATGGTTACTGTGCAGTTAGACAGGGGCCTTGGCACTATACATTATATTGCATTATAAATCCCCTGAAACTGACTAGCTTTCCTTGCTGGGTCAGAAAATCTCAGCAGCGTGGACCAAGGCAACCACATGTGGCTGCTTCCCAAGCGGTTGCGGCGCTCGAAAGCGTCGCAGGCACTTCGATGCATGTTGTTCAATGTGCCACCAGATTGAGAGTAGCTTCATGATTTATATATGTATAATGTTGTCCGTTATACAATTACTATAACTTGGAGATACTAGGCCACTAGGCCACTTTCAATTTACTTATATACGGTATATACGTTGCTTTTGTATCACTAGCACCTAGATATGCAGTTTTGTGCATACTGTATGTGCTTCAAGATGTAGAGTTAAATGGTTCAAGTGATGTTTCTCTTTGTTTGTCAACATTTTGGCGTCCACATCATTGACCACATGGTTTGGTGTTTGAAGCCTAGGGTATACGCAGTGTGCACATGTTTGCACCCTTTCTGGTAACTCCAATGTTCAACATCCTGTTGTTCATCAGTCTTTCGTTTGGGGCTTGTGCCAGCGGCCACCAGTCCTAGGAGCCTGGAAGCCGTTGGGATCCTCGATCATGGTCTGTGGGGCGTCACATGGGCTTCTACGTGGCACCTTTGAAGCTTGGCCTTCGAGTGGTGTGAACACGTGAGCTCGCCCAAACTCCAAAACACCAACACCGGTGATCACCGGTGCTTGGATCACTGACTTAAAGGCCTACAATAATCAATGTAAATCCATTTTGATGCAGATGGGATGGTGCACCAGGAGCTGCACCTCTTTGGAGCATATGTTGCGCACTTGGACTATGGTTTCTTTGTAAGACTCAAAAGACAAAGAGGGCAGATACAAGTTTCATGTTGTGGTAGTTTGCAGCTGATTTGGATGTTCGAGGAATGATGGGGACGATTTACGATGCGTTCATTGCCCCAGTTGCCAGGCGGGACATAGATGGCTGTAGCAGTTTTCAGCAGAAATCCTCCTCCCGCTCTCGGTGGCAATAGTTCGCAGCTTGAGAGTTTTGTTCAGTAGCACCTCGGTGTTAAAATGATGCTTAGGACTCAGATACCACTTCAAACCCAAGACACCGGAAGGGCCGAAGGATACCCAAGGCCTTTTGTGAAGTATTCTGCACTGGCTGCAGCATGTCGCAGTGCACGAAGACCAAAAGGTTGCATAATCCTGTCCACCTAAAACACGCCCCCCCCCTAATAAGGCAACCTCGGTCGCATTTTTTAAAATAGGGGGTCCCTGAAATCGGGGGGTCCAAAATAGGGTCACCTGGGAAGAGCTTCAAAATCAAAAAGTCACCCAGGGGTGGATAGACAGGGCGGACAGAGGTGGGCAGTTACCTTTTTTTTGGGGGGGGGGAACCTAATTTAAAGAATCCTCCAAAATGGGCAATGTTGGTAGTTTAGTAGCGGCTTTTATGGGTGGTAATTTAAGAACGAATATAAAATAATATAAACCATATTTAAGGTCTTTTTTAAATAGGGGTCCGTTTTTAAATAGTATACTCGGGATTACTAAGTAGCAGGATGTCACCTGGTTCGCTGCCCTTGCTCGTCAGGTGGATTATTGCCTGCTTTGCAGCCAAACATGGGAAGTCTCAGGCCAAAGCCATGATGGCAAGTCGTGTTTAGAATTCGATTCTGCATTGCCGCAGAGCCACAAGTCCAAAGAGCGGCACTGGGCAGGTGCAAAGGCCTGCCCAGGTTGTCAAGTGCGCACCTTACGTTCGATGGGCTGCAACCATATGACCTGCACTCAGTGTGGCATGCACTGGTGCTGGGTTTGCGGCCGCCCCTGGCAACCTTGGCATTATGGCTGTACAGCGAACTCACAAACTGCTGCGGACTGCTCTTTAATGTGAGAGAAGCCCGAAAGTTTGGGCCAAAAAGGAGGTACTGCGTGTCAGAATCAGGTGCACGGTGCAACCCAAAATAGCTGGGGATTCCAGACAACTTCTACAATGGCCTGCAGCCACTGCAGCCCTTTTGCACATCTAGTCATCTAGGTGAGTAGTTTCAGAGAGTTCCCTGAAATTCCGGATGTGTGACTGATCCACCAGATCCACCACAAAGGTCGGGCAGCTGACCCGCTGCTTCAGCGCGCAGTTTCGAGTGAGAAAGAAACAGAGCGCATCGCAGCCCAGAGTTCTCCCTTGACAACTGGGCCATAACTAGCCAGGGACGCTACTAGGAGCAAAGGGGATCGCTACTAGGAGCAAGGACGCTACTGGGCCATCAGGCCTTTTTGCATCCTTATCGCTTTGAACTTCTGAGAGAAGACAACTTTTGAAACCTCGGAGGTTCGGCAAGCGTATGTGGTGAAGAGTGTTGGCAGTTAGCCCCTGTTTATTTCCTTCGAGCATGGAGAAAGCATTCTGGACTAGAGGTTTATCCATACAAGCATCAGCAGTGTAACACAATGTATCAGTGTGCCCCCGAGGATTTATCAAGAGGTTCCATCTCTTTCAGCAGCGAGTGTGACAAGGGTGATGTTTGCTTAGTTTGAACGTTGTGATTTACAACAGTCAGAAGTCACTCCTAGGTTTTGCCTCGCTGTGTGCGGTTCGCCTTTCCAGCGAGCAATCTTTGTGCAGGGTCGACGCAGGAGAGAACGCTTGAAACATGTCAGGAACTCAACCCCAACGGCGTGTACCACTTGCGCTTATGCCATGCCGGGCAGTTGGAAACTCAGAAACCGGTGAACGGTTTGCAACTTCATGTGCAAGCTCCTAGTGCCTTTGGGTCACTGTTTGACTCCGGAGTTCGGACCTGCGTCGTTCGACGCGGCCATGACGCAGTCTGCTTGACCGATGGATTCGACCATGCCACTCAGGTGGCTGGACCTGGTGGTGGATGACTTGTTCCCCACTTCTCAGGCGGCAACGAAGCAGACCGAAACAGTGCTGAAAGGTCCGGTTGCTGTTGATTGGGTAGTGTGGCTGCATATCAGCCTCACGGTCACATGGTTCAAGTGTAGAAGGACAGAATGACAAGTCTTCAAGTGCCACGTCATAGCGCATGCTCTGGAACCGGCTGACTTTGAGCAGACTCAGCAGCTGTTGGGTGAGCAGGTCAGCCAAAAGTAGGGGGGTCTTAGTTTTGCTTGGAAATGCAGCTGAGATGTACTGGTAGGGTGGGGTGCTTGCAACATAACTCCAAAAAAATTCTTACACTTACACCTGGCCTATTAAGCAAGAATTCCCACACCTCGGGACCACCTTCTACATGTTTCCACATGCTCAACATTTGTCAACCCACACGTTGCAAAAGACACGTGGCCAGTGACGTTTCAATGGTCATGGTCAGTGGAATAGTTGCAGGTTTGCGAAGGCACCACAGACGGCCGCTTGGTGAGCTTCTCCCGTGGCGGCAACCTGTGCTACTTGGGGGTGCGCGGGGCATTTTTGCACACTGCCAGGGAGAGGAAGGGTGGATGACGAGAATGGGACTTAGGGTTGTAAGAGTGGCTAGCCAGGTCTGGTGGAAGAAATCAGGCCGTCACATACTAAAGAAGCTTTTGGGCCCAAGCCCAAGGATGAGGAACAAAAACAAGGGTAATGTAGCAATGGCAGTGACGGCACACGTGTTGTGAAGAAGGTGCAAGAGCTGAGTGTCAAATCACCCAAGCGTTGTTTGATTCACCGGAGGGTTTTGCAGGCATGCTGCTTGCAGTTTTCACCAAGAGCTGAAATGGGGCAGGCATCAGCAGATGGCATGTCACAAGCCATATTTGGAGAGCAGTCCAAGAATACGAGCCCAAGATCAAGACTTGCGAAGTACGCCGCACACAACCGTAGAATGGGGCACAGCCGCCATGACGTGGGAATTGGCTGCATCCCAGCTGCTGCACTTTGACGATGCGGGAGTGCCCAGGGGGTCTTGCAGAGCCTATGGCTGCGACTGCTACCAGCCGCCAGTGGCAAGGCACAATCAATCGTGTGGGCAAAATCCACAAACCTTGCCGGCCTATAGATCGATCGATCGATCAATAGATAGATAGATAGATAGGTAGATAGGTAGATAGATAGATAATGATATATAGCTAGACCATGAATATAGACCAGGGTGCTTGTAGATGAATGTCCTTTCTCATGCTGAGGCAGTCCTGTCCGTAATAACATTACTGTAGCTATATATATATATACACACGCACACACACACACACACATATATATATAGATCCTAAACACACACGTATATATATATATATATGGTTTCTTCCGCATGTGTTTTCCCCTTTGTTCGGTAAAAGAGGCCAATCACCTTGGATGGCCGTCGTCCAGCATGCTCAAACCATGCTGCTCCTTGCCATCGGTGTGGGCGACCAGCAGAAGATCACGGAGATCTGAGCCGTTGGTGCCTCTCTTGTCACGCCAAGTGTGATTGCAAACCGGTGTCCCAACATGTCTCAACGAACATCGAAAGTGGTAGCAACATTTTGTACTGTAGAAGTTATGAGAATGTTGATTCCATCTTGCGCGGAAGAAGTTAAAAATAGACAACCTCTACAGAATTGCTCCCTGAATTTGCAAGCCATTGACATTAAATATCTATTATAGGCATTGAGGCTGCTTTTGCTTGAGGTATGACGCTGCTTTGGCCTGGTTGCGTCGAATGAACACCAGCCGGAAAGCCTCCACAGGACACCCGGAAAGCCAGGGAAGGAATGTTTCTGACGGTCAACCCATGGATAGTATATCTCATGATCTATCATGATGCAAGCAACTGAAACGGCCTCCTGCGGAACAAAAGGGAAATAATTAGCATATATGTTAGCACTGGGCATTTTGCCAAACAGGGTCTTGAACAGGCTTAAGATGGCTTAAGAAGATTCCAAAGATGTCCAATCAAAAGCACATGTTGCGATATTTGATGTGCTCTCTCTCTGTTTCGATCTCCAGGGCTGCCAGCTCAAGCTCAAAGCTGGGAGCCTTGTGCAGCTGTGCTGTGGGCCCTGTCAGGTTCTGCCTTCGACCTGGGCACCTCGGCAGAAGCGACGATTTCGGTGTGATCTGAGCGGCTTCGTCTCCGAAAGTCCTTCATAAAGAATGTTCAATCGTTCTTTCCTTTGACACTGTGCAGGAAGCCAAGTTGAGGAGTACAGGGAAGGACCGCACGGAACCGCCGAGCAAACATGCAGCCTTCTTGCACATGTGTTCATACGTGTTACAACACTTTCTCACCGCCCTGAAGAACGCTTTGTGGGTGACACCAAGCTGATCTCTGTCATTGCCGTTACAAGCCAGGGCAGGCGCGATTGCATCGGATTTTCTTCCAGACATTGAGCACTGAGAACATTTATGTAATTTGGCATTGCCTAATTGGATGCTCTACATTGTAAGCGGTCCGTTGAAGAAGTCTTCACGGCGGTGTGTTTTTCAGCCACGACCAGTGCTTGGAGACTTGACTTGCATTTCCAAAGCAGGTGCTGCAACTTGATAGGAAACTTTGGAGGAAGAAATCTGAAATATGACCTGCGACCAGTGAATGGTTCAATCGGCATCAAGTTTATGATATGCATTTGTTGAAGTGAAGTGACTCAAGATATCCCAAGCACTTGTCGACAAGGCATGCGTTTCACCCACTCCTCTATGAGACCTTCCGACGTCAAACATACGAGCCAGCGGAGCTCATTGTGGTGGACAGTGGCGCAGAAGCCTGTCATCTCAACAGCACCGGTGCATCATTTGGACAGGGGAATCTTGAACCCTTCAAGGCTAAGGCCGTCACGTAAACCGGTGATGTTGTTTGTTTGGGAGGCATTTCCTATTGTTTGTTGTTGGTCAAGTACAGCCTAGAGTCTCTTCCACTACACGCCTTTGTCTTGCAGCGTTGATGTGGCCAAGCACTCCGCACTCTCCATAAGGAGCCATCAACATATATGCTGGAGCGCAAGAGCGAAGATGAAAGAGTGTTCTACTACTTCTTTAAGGCAGAGAGCTCACAACAGCCTGGATCACCGCGGCTTCAAGAGGAGTCTGCAGCCGATGCCATGGCACCGGCACGCCGGGGGGGAGTGGCAGTGGGTGAATGAGCACGACGGAGAAACTCCTTCACGAAGACTGATCCAGCGCAGCAGACGCAGAAAAAATATGAAAGAAGTAAAGAATTGTAATTGTGTGTAATTGTTCAATGGTGTACACATTCCGTAAATATTCCTTACCCGTCCTGCCCACATGGCAGGCCTTGAGGAGCGACAATCCAATGGAGTGCACTGAATGGACACGACGGCGACCTTTTCAAACTGAGGTGAGGCATCTCAGAGGGGGAGGAACTAAGACACATGCTTCCATCTTTGCGATTTGTTCGCCATCAGTGATACTCCCAGGTTCTGCAACGTGCTTTAATTGCTGCCGAGTTTGCTGCCGATATGCGGACAATCATCCATTGAAGCTTCAGTTGCCGAACCTTAAGGGGAGTAGCGATGTTAAGATTGCTGAGCGGATCACGTCCTCTGTCCTTGTCCAAGTTGCTAGCGGAGAGGGGGTCATGACTGACTGACCAATCAAAGTTCTGAACACGCTGCATGCCGCTTCAGGTGAAGAGGGAAGGCTGGACAAAGGGATTCAAGCGAAACCTAGCTTGCATGATGACCAGGGGCTCGACCATTGTGATCTTCGAAGATGGCTGTTTGCAGCACGGCCTCAGTGTTGCTACATAATGGAGTAAGGGAATTGAACAAGGTGCATCGACAAAACTTTGTGGCTCTGTGTGTGTGTGTGTTGTGTCACGACTGTACGCCGCACAGGTACCGCACGATTTGCGCAAGCATTCTCCGTTTGATCCTAGTTGCTCTATGTTGCTCTCTCCACGTGTTTGGTCGGCTCAATCATGGATGGATGGTGAACTGTCATAGCGCACTATATATACTTCCTTGCCAAGGTATGCAGAGGATTACTTGGAGCTGATGCACCAGGAATTGTTGAAAGCCGAAGGCAGTTTAGCAGCTGTAGCCTTGCAAACCTGGCACACCGCCTCTTTGGCACATCAGTCCCTTGGCGCCTTGCTCTTGGTATATATCCATTGATATCCCTTGTGCACAATCCTTAGCCATGCACGGCCTTTTTGCATCTCTTGCTTGACATCCTTCGAAGCACGCCTTCATCGGTCAAAAGGTGTCAACAGAGCGTGTCATGATAAGGAGATCCCCTGCAAATTCATGTCCATCCTCGACCGGGATTCTACTGCTCCGATTCCGACAGGTGTTTGTCCTGAGAAGTTGTATACAGTATACTTATGATATCTTATGATATACCTTACAGCCTAACTCTGAAATCTCAAGGATTCATAAAATAGCAAAAAAATGCAAAACCACACTCACAAAGGATGACCAGGAAATGCAAAAGAAATGCATTAAAAAACAAAAGCAAAAACAAGCAGCTGGTCAAAAAGAGTGCATATCAAAAAGCAAAAAACATGCAAAAGGAAGCCAGAAAAAGAGCAAAAAAAAGCAGAACAGCAGTTCAAAAAAGCAAAACAAACGCAAAAACAAATGCAAAAAAACATGCACATGCACAACCAAATGTCACACACCACCTTTTTTGTGCGATGTTTTTTCGATGTTTGTGTGCGTTTTATGTGCGATGTTTTTTCTTTCTTTTTTTTTCATTTGTTGTGTGTGTGTTTTTTTGCGATTGTTTTGCGTTTTCTCAAGGAAACGCACAAAAAAATCAAAAAAAATAGCAAAAAACGCAATACAAAGCAAAACAAATGCAAAGGCAAAGACCAGAACGTTTTTGATCGCATTTGTTTTGCTTTTGATTGCATGTGTTTTTGCATTTGTTGTGCATTTTTGTTGCATTTGTTGTGCCTTGTTTGTGCATGTTTTTTGCATTGTTTGTGTGTTTTTTTGCATTTGTTTAGTGGACACATGCGTTTTGTTTTCGCAGTTTTTTTTGCATTTTTTTGGCATTCCAAGGCATCCTTTGGTGACTTGTTTTTGCGTTTTCTGTGCATTTTTTTTCGGGATTGGTTTTGCATTATTTTTGCATTGGTTATGCATTTTCTATTTTTTGCTGTGTCATCAGAACTAGCTTTAGCGTACATCATAACAGTATACTGTGTGTATACATGTATATATATAGTTTGTGTTTCTCTCTATTCTGTAGAGTTGTTCCCTACCCAGGACCTTTCGTTGGGTGGACCTCACAGAGAGGGACCTACAGCTGCCAGAGGCACTTCCTTTATCAGAGACTTGGCCGAAGCAGTTGAAGTGCGGAATAGGCTGGCCACTCATTTTTCGGGGCAGCTGCGGTGCATGTCCCATGAACAAGAATAGAAACATCAGCCTCTCCTTCTCATTGAAGAGGACAAGCTGGCCCATGGATTTACGCATGCTTTTCGGAGGCGCGGTGGTGTTACAAGTCCTTGGATTGTGAAAACTTGAGAAATTTTGGCTCCACTAATTGGCAATTATTTTCAGATGATCACTCGTAGTCAGCTGCAATACCGCTGAAGAGGTTCACACCTGTGGTGCTGCGAGGACATGCACGATATGACGATATGATTACTTGACCTGGGGCACTCGCACGAAATCGGATGCAAAGGCCTGTTACAAGAGTTTGGGACCTGTTCTGGTTTTCACATCTCTTTGGCTCCAGGGCAGCTTGGCTGAAGCAGCCCTTTCCCGACAAAGAAGGGCCCCAGGACAGACACTTCCTGGAAGCTTTGCAAAGAGCCTTGGCAGACGATCTTCAGAGAATCTTGAGAGGCATTGTTTTCTTGATGTGCGGGCGTTTGTTTGTTCGTGTTTCAGGACAAGACATCAAGGTGCTTCTTCCCAAGCAGCCCCGAGACGCTGCCTTGGCGGCTTGCGGCTGGTGCCAGCAGAACCTTTCCACCGCCCAGGTTGGAGTCTCAAGATGGAGATGGACGGATGTCCCGCACAAGATAGACATGACAGTATGTGGTTAAAAAGAGCGTTTATTGAGTTGCAGTAAATAACTGCATGCTCTTGCCTGGGCCAAGATGTTCAAGCCCTGGATGTTGCCCCCAATGGTCTATTTAGCCAAGATTTGTTAATTCATTCCAAACCCCGACACTATTTCCTGCTGAAAGGATGCCGCCACCAATGTCAATTTGTACTCCGAGCAGCTTGTCCGAAGCTGATTCCAATGGGCGTGCAGGCGGTGCAAACAGTGTGCTTGGAGGGCTGATGGTCAAGTATTTTGTACTGACCACCAGGGGAGCAATAACATGTCGGATCTTTCAGAACTTGTTTTACCATTGGTGAACACTGTTTCTGTTTCTTCCCATCTATATATACATATATATTGGGCACATGTGCGGATGCAACGGAAAACACGCATATATATATATATATACACATGTAAGAAGCAAGACAGCTGAATCCAGGGTGGAATTGATGCCAATCGTTTTGCATGGCCGTCCACGAACTTTGGATTTGACCCCAGGTTGCTTATCCTTGCATGTCGTGGACACGAGGAAAGCTCGACACCTCAACGGCTGAGCCCTTTGCTGCCATTTGCAATGTCCGGAGTCGAGGTTCCACGAGAGCAGATCATGTGGCTTGCGATTTTGTGCTCAAAGATTGCCCATCGTTTCCTGCGTGTCATAAACAAGGTCAAGACTGGTCTCCAGGATGGTTAGCTTGCATCCCATCAAACGATGGCAGCAACAGCAGAGCACAGGGCAAACAAAGATGCGATCATATTCTGAAAAATGATTATTGAATTGAGACAAAGCCACTCGCCTCACTGAGCACAGAACGACTAAAGAAACCCAGAAAGCCAAAATGCTTCACTTGGAGTCCGAACCCATTGCAAAGATATATTTGCATAGCCTAAAGTTGCCATGAGCTGTCTAGTATGTGCGATGTGGTGGTGGGCAGGTGTGGCAACTACAAATATGCAATACCAGTAATTAGTGAGCCCCTCATCATCTTCACGTGCTGCTTCTTCGTCCTCACCTGTAGCCTCTGAGTTGACGTCGCCAGCCAGCCGCACAGCTGTGGAGGCATTTACAGCAAAGAGCGAGATGCGGCTGAAGCAGATGCTCGAAAAGGAGGGCACCGTCTACGTGTGGGGAAGCCCATGATTGTCAGAACGGGCCAAAGAATGCTCAATCTTGTGGCAGATTTGTCAAAACATGTCAAAGAAGCGGGGTCAATGAGAGGGCAAGCTGTGGATAATTGCTATACGCCAGTGTTGACGTGAGGTGCTCAAGAGTCTTGGACCGCAAGGACTCAGAGAATTTGCGGGAAAGGTGTGTGTGTGTGTGTGTCTACTTATTGTTTCGGGAAGCCGCAGTGAACATGAAGTGCGAAGTTGGTTTTTAATGTTTTTTTATAGGGATGTGAGACATTGCCTCGCACAATGAACGGACATGAGCCCATCGGCAGTCTAGATTCTGGACAACGTGCTTTTATTCTTTCAACATTCGGCAAAGATACTGATACTAATGCCTTTGACACACACACACATATATTTATATACACACAAATGATGCACATAAAGGGAAAAAGAGCTTGCATTTTGAGTCCTTTTTGCCGTGAATGGCAATGCACATAGTGTCCCACACCCTTGAGCCAGGCATAGGACAATTGAAGCCTAACAAGAAGGGACAATGTGATTTAAAGCCTAGGCTGTGGCAGTGCTGTGGCGTTACAAAAGCATTGGAGGGATACATCGACACATACCAATCCGCTCCTTGGACTTGGGTTTTCAAGCAGATGAAGCAAGTCCAATGCTATTGTATGCTACTGTCAATTGTTTCCTAGTGCTGCCATGGCTCGTGATCTTGGGTCTTTGGTTTTGCTGGATTTCACATGGTTTCCCTAAAAATCTAGGAACCAAATGAATAGTGCCAGCATGAGCTATCCTGCGTCCTAGGTAGTAGCGTACTAGTGGCTACTAGCTACCTAGCTTCTACTAGCTACCTCTGGCTACTATATACCTCTACCTACGGCCCACCCCGCTTTTGAATATATATATATATAGATATGTGTGTGTGTATGCGTTTTTGTTTCGGTCGTATGTTGAGATGACAGGTATGGCTGCACCTTTGACATAGGCCTGGTGCCCAGGCTCGACTCACCCTTTTCTTCAGTCCTAGCCGTGTAGAGTTCGCTTTGAGCATTGGGGACTGTGGCTAAGACGGGAGTTCGGCATTGGACGGTAGGGTTTTCGTCTGAGACATGCCCAGCCGGGGAGTCGAAGAGTTGGCAAGCCCAGGTCAATTCTCTCGAGCTGGTGGGGCCGTTGCTGAGGCGGGATGCCCAGTGGACGCACTTGTAAGATATGCTTTTGGAGCAAAGTCCCAATCCTTCGGGAGCCTCTTGAGCACACAGAGTATCACAAGGCAAAGTAAGCAGATATGTAATCACGCTGTCGTACATTGTTTGGGCACTTTTTAGCTGCACCAAGACTCATGACCAAGACTCCATGATCCCTGACCAACAGAGTCCATTCTCTGTAGATGAATCATTTTTTCAATGAGCCTTCTTGAACCCAGGGCCGCGAGTACGATGACGGCACAACATGGTTTCCAGGCTGGATGGCCATTCCTCATGCACGCTGGCCAATCCAAGGTCATGCTATCACCAGCCATTCTCAACTTCTTGCATCGGATGTGATCAAAATAGAAGGTTGTTTCATCGCTTTTGCCAGTTGTGATGTTGCAGAGAGATATACTGATATACGGTACTATATCTGCACTGGGGTGGGCCCACATGAGTCGAGACCGTTTGCCATGGTATCCTCGCGCCTTCCAGGTTGGATTTGGCGCATGGCTATTTGCCGGACATGCGGAACTCATATCGGCTGGCGCTTCGAGAGCAGGTGTCTTGGATATTTGGCACGAATGTTTTTGAAGGTGTTGGTTGTTGGATGTTGTTGGTTTTGCGTCTTGTTTAGATGTCTGGAGCAACCAAGATATATTGCGGGTCAGCAGTTGCCGCTTTGTTGCTTAAAGACTTGTTCTCCATGTTGGTGCCTCACCAACAAAGCTGGACTGGAAAATGTCAGAGCGGTTTGAGCCTGATTCTGGAACATGTACCCTCCCTTCAACAATCATGGAAGTGGACAATGGCCTCCTGGCACACTATTTTCCACTACCAACAGAGGATTGTCCACTTCCATGTTTGTTTCAGGGAGTGTATATACTTGGACTTGGGCATGCCAATATCGACTGTTTTAGTGTAGGGGGCGGCTCCCCATCTCCCCCATGGAAGTATACTTGTGATGTTTCAACGGTGGTTCTCATGGTCCTTTGTGCCGGTCGGCCTGGAACTTATTGTTCTTGTCTTGCTCCAATTTGTTTAAAGGTTTATTTACTAGTAGTGTCCTCTTGTTACTAGTCGTAAAGGCCAGGAGGGCCCCTACTATCGTCCTTGCTCCTAGTAGCAATGCCGTTTGTTACTGTGAATTCTCACATGTCCAGGTTTTTTGGTTTACTAGTAGCTTCTTGTTCCTAGTAGTGATGCCAGGAGCTACTATATAGTAGCTTTCTTGCTCCTAGTAGAAATGCCCTTGTTACTGGACTCGGAGTCTGGACGCTTTTGGGGGTTTCACCACCCAGCCCGCCAAGTGGTTGCCTTCGACCGTAGCTCTTTCCTGACGTTCCCTCAGGTCTTGGAACAAGTCAGGTGGCCGTGGCGATGCCTCCCTCTTCTGGGGATTGATTTGGCGGCACGGGACTCACCGTCGTCGGGTCAAAGCCGAAGCATCAGCAGACTTACTGTTGGGCTGATTGTTGGAAATTCAGTTGCCTCCGTTGTCCCCTGACATGGGCGGGATCAATTTCTTTATGACTGGAAGGCTGCTGCAGCGGAGCGAAGGTATCCAAGTATCCCGATAGTGGGCATTGAATGCATAAAAATGTTCATCAAAGCATGTGAATGCAAACAAAATGCAAGCAGCATCAAACTTGAGGTCGTGCGTTTGTTTTAAAACTTTACCACCTCCAATCCACCCTCTCTCCTTGCTTTTGCCAGTTCTTCGGCTTTGGTCCATCCTGACAGAATCCTGAAAGAAAACCAACGCCATCGCTGGAGCAGGCACTTGCGCGAGCATTGTGCTGCTGGACCACAACCGCAAACTTCGAAACGTCCAGAGCTTCGCTGCCCGAAGGAGCTCAGGTGTTTGGGATCAAACCCTAGGTTTTCCCGTCAGCTTTGATTGACACATATGGAATCATATGGATCCATAACGATCCATATGGACGTCAAGGTTTTCACAAATGATGCACAGTCAATAAGCCTGCGTTTTGCTGCTGGGAAGGTGGAATGCTCATTGCGCTTGATCAAATTCCATTCTTCAGAGGCAACCAGAAACTAAAAGCCCTTGCGCAGGAGCATCCTTTGCGACGCTACGCCACACCGCATGCACACTATATTTGCGACGTGTGCAACCGACAGGCATGTTTGTTTCTTCGGAAGACATGGATACGAAGAGTTGTTTAAGGTTGATAAGACAGGGTGTTGTTCAAGCGTGTTTTACAGGATGCCACCTCAATTCAAGAGGTACAGTACCTTATCTTTGAGATCCAAACAAACGCTTCAGCTTCAGCCCACTAAGCTGCTCACTTGATTGCTTTCCATTGCTTGAAGCATGCCATTTTTTGGGCTCTGTGGCATGAGCGAGGTGAAGGTTGGTGAGCATCTTTGGGGGTGCGGTGCATCACTGAGATGCGGCACATGCATGTGATCATGTGCGCCAAAGAGATGTTTGGGTGTTTGTGTGGGCCTTTTGGCCCAGGTGCTTGTGACTATGACATGTGCGACGGATGCAAGGCCAAGGCGTGCTTGCCAAAGGGAAGTCTTCCCCCAAGCAAGACAACATACGTACGTAGGCACGAGTCACGAGTCACTGCAACAATAATGCAGTCCGTGAAAAGGCTCCGATTATCTTTGATACACCTTTTCAGGGAAAGGCCTTCCGCTACATACATTGACGCCTCGCTTCACATGTTCACATCATCCTCTTGATCTTTTTCATGGACAAACAATGTCCATGATGCTTCCAGCCAGGTCATCCATGGTGCCAAAGTTGAGCACAGAGAGAGTCAAGGTCTTGCAGGTGTGGCCTCTGGGCATTTCTGACCAACCAGCCGGCGCTTCAAACATGTAAACACATGTATGTAAAGTGACAGTGTAAAAACATTGGTCAAGCTGCGCTGAGGCCTTGCGAAGACTGCACAGAAACCATCCCAGGAAGCACCTCCCGAGGCACAGCAGGCGTTCCAAGGTGGCATACAGACACTTCGGTTGGCCAGGCTTTATAGTTGGCTAATGTTGGCTAGTTTAGTTGACAGCAAGTGAAACAAGCAGATAGCAGCAGACCATATGTTCCTGTCCTTTGGCAAGTGCAGGAAGTACCCGAAGGCCCGGTTTTTGCTTGGAACCTGTAACATACCCCTTGCTACACACGTCCTGTAAACAGGTTTGGGTTCAGACTTCCTACCTCCAATATCCATTCTTCAAACGGAGTCTTTTCTGAACCCAGGTTGCCTGCCATTGCCTTGCCGCTGCGGCCGGAGGTGCCTGCGCATCGCACCATTTTGTCGCACAACCCAAATGCTGGTTGCATGCCCTGGCAGACTGAAAGTGTGGTAGGTTTGAAATAAGACTTATAACGATAATATGACAGTGCACGGGCTTTTTTTTCTGGACTTTTCATGTCTTAACTTGTTCTCGTTGCCACTGAATTGATCTGAATTTATTATTATAGAATGCAAAGCTTCCAGCAAGTGGTTACTTCCCGTACGAACTTTGAGCTCGTAACTTCATTAGATCTCAAACTGGAGTTTGACGTGAATTGCTGCTTGGTGTTGAGATGTGTTGAGTCATTGTGAGTCACTTTATTGAATGTCCACCTCTGACGGTGGTTGGTTGGTCACCCCTACACCCCTTCGATATCCTCAGCTTGTGAGGTGGCATTGTGGCGGTGCCATGCTATGTATTGGCCGTGAGATGAGGTCTGAGAAGATATTTGCCCTTTAACTGCATATATAAATATATAATGTATTCTAGGATGTTTGGGTGCTCAAAGGCACCTCAACTCCCAGTGCGCCCTCAGAGGGAGTTCGAAGTTTTGTGAGACGGCTTGTGGTGGGGGTCTTGTACTCGTGACTATATTCCACATGCAGGCATACAGCAGGACAGAATCGACACTCCAGTCTCGAGTCAAAGTTCACACAGCAGGGTGTGATGAGTTGAGTGATGAGAGAGAATGAGAGAGAGAGAGAGAGAAAGACAGACCCTGGCCCAAGCCGTTGGATTTTGCGGATAGTGGCTGATGGCGTCCCTTTCCACCCCCACATAATCATGGAGCCTCAATGGCAGATTTTGGGAGGCCTGCTCAGAAATCTGGACAGCTAAAGATATACACGCACCCAAAGTTGCAAGCATGATAGTCCATATATGTCCATATACACAGAGACACGTGAAGACACTATCCCCTCACCAGGAGTTGGACAGGTCCCGTTTGCATTTCGTTGTGCTCAGCGAGCTCGGAGCTTGCCAGCCTTGCGGCATCATGTACAGTGCCGTTGACAAGCAGCAGCCTTGGCACCCGAGGAAGCTGAGCCAGTACGCAGCAGAAAAGCTCCTTTCGGGTTCTGTCACTTCTCGATTTGGATCTTGATGGTTGGACGAATGTAATTCATATTAAATATATGTTTTGTTTTTCTTCGATGAGGGTCCTTTCAACCTTCGGGTGGCTCCCTTGCCGGGAGAGAGTTCAGAAGTTCCAAGTGCAGGGCGCGCGGCGCCAACTATGGCCCCCGCTGGTGGAGAAGGCAGCCAATCGCTTGCGGAGGATTCCACCGTCGAGCCAGAGAATGATTCTACATTTGTACAATTTGTACATATTTGTACATTCGAGTGGCTTTGCTTGTTTTAGTTCTGTTTCCTAATCAACTAGCTCTTTTCTTTGAATTCCGTTTGAACTTCTGAGGAGGGATCAGATGAATAGGGAAGACAAGAGTGGTTGAATAGGAAGTTACAGGGGCTCATGCAAGGAACAGGAAAAAGCAAGAGGAAAAAGATAGAAAACAAAAGTGTGTGTCTATTCAATCTTGTACGGTCTATGAGGGGATCTATGAATTCGGACCTGACATTTCCCGGAAGATCTTGAAAGTTTCCTGGAATAGGTAGGGTTATGCAATTGCTGTACCTGGTGGAGGTTGACAAAGTGCTACTGAATTGAATGTGTTGAACCATTCTAATCAAGGCCTTCCTGACGGAGTCAAGTCTAGTGATGAGTGCGCAACTGTGAAAAAGACAACTTTCACCTGGTCAAACGTGTGAGGCAGCTGCGAAACTCTTCGGCCGTGGCCCCGGCCCAGAGCTGGGGTTGGAGGGCGTGAGGAGCGATGAGGGGACGCAGGTGGACAAAAATGGTCGCTTGCAATGGCTTGGACTCCCGGGCTCCCAGCTCCCCTTATGATCAGCTGATCCATGCTGATCCTGAGGTTGCTATGGTGCATTGAAAGGAGGAACTTTTGCAGAGGCCTGATGCTGAGAGAGGAATTGACCTTTATGTTTTTCTCAATATGTTTTTCAGATTTGCTTGGCCATGCCTGGGGCCTGGGGGACGCAGAGCTACTTCTCACTGTTGGCGGAAGAAATGCTACACCACTTTTCTGACGATGAATCTTATACCCTCTCGCTCCCTTCTCAATATCAGTTTAAAAAAGTTGCTTGGTCCTGCATCAAAGCCCGCAAATGTCCCATTGCACCACCTGCCTGCATGACATAACTTTGAATAGGGGTGCCGGGCTGCTGGTGTTAGGTATGGGTGGGTAGTGCATCAAAGCGGCCGAGGATTTTTCCGTCAACCGTAGTCATGTTGCCTGAGTTATTGGAACATATTGGAACAGATTTTCAGGCTTTGGCTCTCTTCACTGGCTACCCCACCCAGGCCGTCTACGGGGTGTTGGGTTTCGGGGTTGCAGATGCAAAAATATATTATAGGCGGGGCAAGTGGCATCAAGTAACAGCTGTTCTGTTGGACCAACATGTGGTTATATCAGTTGAGTTGTGGTTCTTCGCGGTTTTGTCACTTGATGTACCGTTAACGTGTAGAGACCAGACTCTTCAGGTTGAGTGAGCTGACGGATCGTGCATAGTGCAAGCCAGTTGCGGGACACAAAATCGGATTCAATCATTGTGAGAGCATTGGTGACGACTCTGACGGCCAGTTGTGCTTCACTTTGTTTTGTCCGCCCTGGTCGATGCTCAGAAGCTTCGCCTCTACATCCCCAAGATGCAGCGCATGGAGCGTGCCCAGCGCCGCCAGGACAAGATGTTTGAGAAGTAGCAATCACTTTGAAACATGTCTTTCTAACTTTTCAAGGTGTGAACCAGTGACCGTTCCATGTTCCATTCCCCGAAGTTGATGATTTGTCCCATTTAACATCATTCAAGCATAGCTTTCGGGTTTCTTTGCATCCGCAGGCGAAGCAAGAGCGCCGGACGCAGCTCTTGCTTCAAGGCCAAGACGTTCCTGACGACCAAAGTGTTGGGCCAAGGATGCCTTGTCGATATGAAGGTGCGAGATAGTGAGTGTCGTGTGGAGCATCACGCAGCATTCTCGCTAGGTGAAACGGTGGAGCAACACACCCAAAACAACTTGGCATTTGTAAAGTCATTTTGCTTTGCAGGACCCCAATCCTAAATAGCAATCAGGTTCGCAAACTAGCACCTGCCGGAGGGCAAACATGATGAATCCCGCACAGAGTTATTCATGATTTGTCAGCTAGTCATGCATGGTTCTTTTGCGTTTACGGCTGTTCCTAGACTTTGACTGCTTGCTGCTGGACAGCTTCTAAGGTGATGACAGTGATGACGATGACCTCAATTGGTCCAAGCTGGTCTCCTGCAAGGAGAGTACACAAACCCACTTCATAGACCCGTAGGAGTTGGAGCCGCTGAGCACCATTTTGGTACACCGGAACCGCACTTTGCCAATGCAGTTGCATGGAAGCTTTAGAATCACAGCTTCGAAGCACATTCTGAAGCTCCACCACAAAGTAGACATCTGCAGAGGATGCTGGCTACTTGCTGGGTCTTGGGTGCTCAGAAGAATGTGCCGTCCACAGCTGTTCTGCCCCGCGGGGAAGCGTTGGTTCGTTCTGACCTCCGCAGGGCCTAACTTGGCCTGACCTGTCTAGTCAGAATTGCGGAGTAAACTTAACCAGTCGGCACACTTTAAGTACGACAGGAACCTCCAGCGACCCTCACCCAACGGCCCGGATCCTTCCAGCCGCCCAGCTTGTGAAAAGCCGAAGCACCACATTGTTGAGGAGATGGGTTTGCAGGCGGACAGGGTTGGAGGTTAGTGATGGAAGCCAATGGGTCACAGGTGACATCTTGGGGAGCACACCTCTTTGGCGCGTTTTGGAGGGTAGCTGGTTTTGGTAGCGCAAGTCTTCTCAGACTCATGTTGAACTATATCCGATTTTTCATTGCCTGACTTGTTGGCGGCGTTCAATTTTCAAATTATTTATTAATCCTTCCCTTTGCCAGGCACCTCATGCTTATGGAATCTTAGATTTGGCCGAGGCCAGATTGGTTGGTTTGACCCAATGTGTGCCAGGAACCGCTGTAAGCAAACTCATGCATGCCACGATTTGAAGTGTGCACTGTGCACCTGATAGTTTGATAATATTAAGATGTATGTTGCAGTCGTTGACCATGAATTTTCATAATGCATGTTCCTGTGACACCCCCTGTATGGCACGTATATATATATATATACATGGTAGTTGATTCGAAGGATGGCATGAGGCCTAGGTTCATTGAGAGCCTCATACGTTGTTCGCGAAGGTTTTCCCCAAACTGCTTACTGTTGGGGCTCTCGATGCCTTTATATATATATATAAGTGTGTTCGCCTTGTCTGGTGCTGTGTCCGCATTGCGCTGCCGATCTTTGCCTTTCCATCCTTTTCTTTTGTCTCCCAATCCGGGGTAGGTGTCCTTCTTCTGGCAACTCCTTAGTAGCAGTTCCTTACATTTGTCTCGAAGCCTGGGCTAGCATTTCCGCCTTCTGACAACTCCTCGGGAGCCATTCTTTAGATTTGCTGAGTAGGCGTCTATTCTGGCAGCTCTTATGCAAGCTTTACATGTCTCTTCAGTTTGGCTAATTTGTCCGCCTTCTGATAAATCCTTGGATGCACTTTTTTTACATTCCCCTCCCAGAGTGGGCTACTGGGTCCACCTTTTTGTAGCATCTCCTAAAGAGCAATCTTCTACATTTGGATCCAAATCTGGGCCAGTGCGTTGCCTTTTCGCAGCTGCTTAGTATCCATTCTTTACATTTTGTCGCGACTCCTCAAGAGCAATTCTTTGCATTTGCCTCCCAGTCTGGGCTAGTCTCTGCCTGCTGGGTGCTCCTGACTACTCAGTAGCAGTTCTACCCATTTGGCTCCCAGGCTAGCATGTCCTTCTGGCAAGGCCGTAGCAGTGCGTCCGCCTCCTGGCAACTTCCAATTCGAAACCTTTGGGTTGGTATGTCCGCCTGGTTTCCCAGTCTCCCCACCTGCAAGTGCTCATTTTTCTCCGCCTTCTGTACGTCCGCCTTCTGGCAAAAGCGATGCCTTCAACATTTTATTCGAGATGCAGATTTATGGCCGTAAACTGTTTGGGGTCTATGGTGGTGTAAGTAATTTGAGTTGGCTCAAGTAGAGATTCATTTTGTTGCAAAAGATTCGCAACATATAGGTATGTCATTGTGTGGAAACTACCAAAAAGGAACGTTTCTAGGATATTCCTCCCGCGAAACTTCAACATGCAGTTTGCGAAAGATTCGTGGAAGTAAAACTGAAAGCATCTAACAACTGTGTTCGCAAAGAATTATATATGTGTTCGCATGTTTTTGCGAAGAGGGAAGTTCGATCAACTAGTTGTGTTGGATTCCTCGTAGTTTCTCCTTGCCTATGTTTGCCCTGGCTGTTTGCCCTGGCCAATTGAACACTTACATGATGCATGTTGCGAACGTTGAGGAGGTTGGCGCATGACAGATTCACAGTGGATGTGATCTAAAAGCCCCTTGTAACAATTGTCACGAGATTCATCCAGAGCCGTTCATGCTAAACACCTGGGGAATGATGACATCGGTGTGTTAATTTG